TTTTTAACTCTCCATCAGCCTACTTAAGTCACACGGCGCCATTTCCAGCACAGCAGAGTTCAGCTGCAGCCTCGTTAACTGCAGGCAGGTGGGGACAGGTTCAACTGCTCCATGACAAGGATCAGATCCACAGATGACCTGTCTCCCATTAGCAAAGTATAAAAAGAACTTTCCAGTTCCTTGGCCCAGAAAACAACAGCATTGTTTTGTTAAAGTCTAGCAATAATTCGTTCCCTAAGCGGGTATTTGGCCAGAGCTGGAAGCTGCTGTCATCTTACTCCGTTCCCTTATCCATAATTCATGCTTAACGTGGCTGCAGTGTGTCCCCTGAGCTCCTCATATTCCATTTCCATCACACAGCCCTTTTGTAAACCAACCAAATTAGAGTGTTTGTGTCAAATTGCCATATTCTTTCAATATCCAAAAGCCAACCTTTCCCCTTGGTAATACGGCGATATTAGGAGTACAGCCTGCTTTCGACTCTATTCCTGGCAGATGGCTGAAAAGTATGGACAGAGGTGACCTCCCCTGGCGTCCAGCAGGCTGACGATGCCGCCCCTGCTCAGTCTTCTCCACCCATGGCCTGTGGCCCTCAAAGGATGACCTTATCAGCTTCCTTCAAATATTTGACTTAGTGTTGATTTCTGCCTAGTTCCTTTTAGTCACTGGTGCCATTTCTGATGGAAGGAAGGCTGTTAACCTGTGTACATGGTCATCACTCACCTACCAACCGGGTTTCAGGGCAAACACATCACCTCCTTCGGGCTGCTCAAGTTGAGGTGACCCAGTCATTCCATTCCTGTCCCCATCCAGCGACAAGCGGGGTTTGCTGCACTTGGGCCAGGGTCTGTGAGGCCAGAAATCCCCTCGCAGGCACGCCCCATTGTCCAGCAGGTAACAAAAGCCATTTCTGAACCACCTGCCTCCAGTCCAAGGCACAGACTGCAGTGCCCAGATGGTGAGGCTGACCAAGATCCGTGTCCGGAGCAGCGACCCTCGGTCTCTGTTGATCAGAGGCCAGCAGCGCCACAAGATGCACAGCCTGCCCCTTCTGAGCAGGTTTGCACCAACTCATCGCCAACCCTGATTGTTCTCAGGATGCTACAGACAATGCCAGGAGCCGGGCAGGAGAGCGCCAGGTGATTTCTGTGTCCATGCTCTGGTGGAGCCCTAACCCTGCCAGTTAGAGGACCCTCAGCGATGACGCACAGATGAGCTTTCTTCCGAGGGGTGCGGACCGGGTTCGCCGTGACTCAACCTCATTTTAATGAGCTGTTTAGATAAGTGGCAGCCCAAAGCTTCAAAGACATCAGGCAGGCCTCAGTGGCCCAAACAGGGAGCACATTTGATGTGTGTCCATCGTGGCCACATCTCCCAAATGAAAACTCAGGGCACGGGGCTGACGGAAGGTGACTTATTTATAAAAACACTTTACATTAATGAACTGCCTTTGTTGAAAAGAACCAAATCAAAGCAAACTGGGAGAGTCCCAGAAAAGCTGAGGCCTATAGTGGCGGTGCCAGTGTGCCCTCCTGCTCAGTGGCACCGCAGATCGTCCTGCTCACATGGGCAGAACAGGGCAAGGTGCATGGGGGCTGGTAGAGGTCGGTTCTTACAGTAAGGCCGATCCCCACCAGGCTGTCCTAGTGACTTTCTAGGTGCCTTCTGCCAGCAGCCAGGGGACCAAGATGCTCCCAAGCAGCAGGGGAAGGCAGGGAGAGTGGGTGAGGGGATCGCGTCCCACTTCCCTCCAGAGGAAACCACCTGGGATCCACCTGGAAGTCCCAGGGGCTTTGTCTTTCCCACTATGTAGTTAGCGCTTGAGGGAAGGAAACAGAGACCTCTGTCTTGGCCCTGCAGCTTTTTTTTTTTTTTTTTTTTTGAGACAGAGCCTTGCTCTGTCACCCAGGCTGGAGTGCAGCGGCGTGATCTTGGCTCACTGCAGCCTCCACCTCCCGGGTTTAAGCGATTCTCCCGCCTCAGCCTCCTGAGTAGCTGGGACTACAGGCGCCCACCACCATGCCCAGCTAATTTTTGTATTTTTAGTAGAGACAGTGTTTCTCCATGTTGGCCAGACTGGGCTCGAACTCCTGACCCCAAGTGATTTGCCTGCCTCGGCCTCCCAAAAGCACAGGTATGAGCCACCCACTGTGCCCGGCCTGCCCTGCAGCTTTGAGTGTTGAATGGAGTCCTAGACTGAGAAGCAGAGTTCCAGAGGTGATTTCAGACCATGCAATTTCACCTCCCCAGAGACTGAACCTGCCTCCAGCCACCGACCTGCAGAGACAGAGGCCTCAGGAGAGACTAGAGCGGCACACGCTGCTGTCTGGTGTCTACCAGGCTCTGCCAGGTGCTTACAATGACAATGACAGCACGGAGTCCAGAGCCTCTCAGCTGCAGCTTGGCACCTCCCCAGGAGGTTGTGCGTATTAACCAAAGGCTGAGCCTCCCCAGGCCGCACTCACTTTCCCGGGGCCATTCGCCTGCTCCCTGTGTAGCGGGTCGCCTGGCCTTTTAGCTCCCTGTGCTGCTTGGCTGTGTTTTTAAATTTAAGTTCTAACTTTCAGTCATCCTAAGCAGCATCCCATGGACTCCCTGGTGTGTGGTGAAGTTACTTTTTTTCTTACACGTATTAAAACAGTTATACACCTGTTGAAGTCAATATTCATCCATGGAACACTCAGAACCCTCAGGCACCTCTCGAGGGGGCAGGGGCGTGGCAGCCCTCGGGGAGCAGGTGCTCAGCACCGTGGGAACGCATCCAACAACAGTGTTTCTGCCTGCTGTGCCCACCATTGCCTCAGATGTGACAACTGTCCACAAGCACATGGCCAGGGGTCCCTGGTGTGAGGCTGAGGCTCCCCCTGTTGCCACTCCCCAGCCTAGGGTCCCCACTGAGACCACACCAGGCTCAATGCTAGAGTGGAGATGGGGCCTCCCAGCACCGTCTGGGCTCCGTGCTTTTGCAGCCTTAAGCACAAGTCACCGTCTCCTAGAACAGCGTCCGGGGGCTGCGCTTATGACGGGCTGTACCGAATGAACTCCCTGAGCCTTTAATGTAGAGGGTAGGGCTGGGCACTACCAGTGCTTTGGGAGGCAGAGGTGGGTGGATTGCATGAGCTCAGGAGTTCAAAACTAGCCTGGGAAACATGGGGAGACCCTGTATCTACCAAAAATACAAAAATTAGCGGGGCATGGTGGTGGGTACCTGTAGTCTCAGCTACCTGGGAGGCTGAGGTAGGAGATTGCTTGAGCCTGGGAGACGGAGGTTGAAGTGAGCTGAGATTGCGCCACTCCACTGCAACCCTGGGCGACAGAGTGAGACCCTGTCTCAAATAGTAAAATAAATAAAATACAAAATAAAATAAAAAGAAGGGGCATGCTGGGGGTGGGGTGGGGGGGCAAAAAAGCAGAGGCGCCCTGGGCTCACTTCCTCTGTTCACAAGTTTCCACCTGGAACCTCATGGGGCAGACGCTGAAGCCCTGCAGACATCACCATTTACAAAAAGTGGAGTGAACTAAGAATGCTGCCTGCCGCTTCCACGTGCGTGCAATGGCTCTGGAAGGACCCTACGGCAGGCGCTAACACATCTGCCCCTGAGAAGAGAAGCCTGGGGGTGGGGGGACAGGGGGGGGGGGCAGACTCCATGGCCTGCCTTTTCGAACATTTTAAATTCTGAACTGGAAGGTGTGGGCTTGTAGTAAAGATAAAGCATGCTTCATATGAAAACTATGAATGAAAATGCCAAGAATGCAAATAATCCCATTGCCAGTTATCAAGAGAACTCTCTTGGAAGGCTAGAATGACACCACCCAGGGAGGGTCAATAAAGGAACTGGGTGTTTTGTGAACTTCAGCACCAGAAAGAGGCCTGGAAAGCAAAGGTTGGCCCACCTTGCACAGCAACCCAGGGTCCTCAATGCCACATTCATGAACTGGCAGCCCACACAGGGAGATGGGGAAGTCACACTCAGCGGGCTGTCCCAGCGCCTCCAGGACACAGCTCTCCACATCCCACAGGTGCCAGTCCTCTGCTGACTCCAGGCCACTGCGACCAACAACCTTTGTTTCCCTGCCCCCAGCTCTAGCCAGTCCCCACAGGGTGATAACTGAAGTTGTCAGGGATCCTTACCTAGCCAGCTTCCACTGCCGCTGCTTCCTGGAGCGCTGCAGGGCCCTGGGTCCTGCAACTGGCCCAGGCCTGCCAGAAAGAGCCAGGGCACAGCCGTGGCTGGCAGACCACACCCCCTTACCACCACCGTGAGGAGTTGGGGGTCCCGGGTCAGCCAGCCAGGCCCTAACTCCCCACGCCCACTGACCAACACAGCGGGGGCAGGTGCATCCCCGCAGCAGGCACAGGCTCAGGGCTCCAGATGCTTTCTCCATCAGTAAACAGATGTGGCTGTGATGGTGAGGAGGCCCCGCCGCCTGAGTCCTGGCCACCTCAGAAGCCCACACAGGGCAGGAGCTGCTTCTCCTTATTTTACTCCCTAGGATGGAGAAGGTGGAGGGGTTCCCAGGACTTACATAGGAAGAACAGCAGATACTTTACCCAAAATAAACAAAAGAGAACAATCCTTCTGCCAAACCAACCTTTCAATATTATTTAGGCTGGGTGTGGTGGCTCACGCCTGTAATCCTAGCACTTTGGGAAACAGAGGCGGGAGGATCGCTTGAGCCCAGTCGTAAGGGACCAGCCTGGGCAACATACGAAGACCCTGTCGTTACAAAAAATGTAAAAACTAGCCGGGCGTGGTGGTGCGCACCTGTAGCCGCAGCTCCTTGGAAGCCTGAGGCCGGAAGACTGCTTGTGCCCAGGAGGTCAGAGCTGCAATGCGCCGCGATCCCGCCTGCACTCCAGCCTAGGTGACAGGTGGAGGCCCCGTCTCCAAAATAAATAAAATAAAATAATTTTGTCGTTGCTTATTCCTCATAGTCAGTCTCATGCTACTGAGTGACCAGGCCACTTTAATGGATGTGAGGAACTGACAGAGGCCACGTTAATTAACAAACTTTTTTTTTTTTTTTATTGGAGATAAAAACAGCAAAGTCCCACATACCATACCCTACAAGACACAACGTGTGCGGACGAGCCTTGGCTGTGTACCGGTGCTGCAGGATGAGGCTGTCCGCCGGGCCTGGGCTGCTCCAGCTACACGGGGAGGCGGCCCCATTGCAAAGTGCGGTTTCTCTGCGAAGGTGGCGGCGGGTCAGTGGCAGAGGGCCATGGCTTCCATGTTAAGGAAGCGGACGTGCATCTTGGTCTCAATGTCAATCCCCTGCCAGATCTGGAAGGTATGGACCAGCGTTAAGGGTACATTCCCGCCGCCACCTCACACCTGACCAGGCCCCGGTCCTCGGTCCTTCCCCACCTACCCTCTCCTGCCACCAACGGTGATGTTCCGGGCGGGTGAAAACCCGAGGGCTGTGTTTCAAGGCTAGGAGCTAAGCGAGGACGAAAAACTTCCATCTGTCTTTTTTGCTGGTTAATTTGGCGCTGACATTTGGATTCTCTCTGAGATTGTCACAGCAAGTTATTATTAAGTACTGAATCCAAGCTCTTAGCTCCAAGTCATTTGAATCTCACCCACCACTTCAGGTTCTGTGATTTTCATGCAAATTACATAACCCCATTAAGTCCCCTTTCCATGGGTAAATGCGGGACCCCCAACCTGTGCCACCCACTTCACAGAACGTCGGGGACTCTAAAGGACCCATCCTCGTCATGGACGTATTTTGTAAACTGTTAGGGGCTGTGCAGTCACAAGGCTTTGCTAGGCCACCATCATCAATTTAAAGATCTCCAGTTGTGGTCTTTACAACCTCCCTGGGATAAGGGACCATGTGCATTCTAGAAAGACAAACTCAAGCCCAAAAAGGTGATTTCTACCCAAAGATCGCATCGTGGCCCCATTCCTGGTGCTGGTACTGTCACTACAGTCCAGCCTGGCCAGGGCCCTGGAGTAGACCTTCATGCTACGAGGCTATGTATGGACCCCAGTGCTCCCAAGGCCATGCCCACCAGCACCTTAGCAAGTCAGGGCCCACGGGGGCCACAGATGGTAGGATGCGGGGTGCGAACAGGAATGGAGGGATGTGGTGGGCGGGTGACTTCTCACTGCCTCTCGCTTATGTAAGAACTTCAAACTCTCACTCTGTCACTCTCAGCATCTCCGGGGACAGCCACGAGGCTGGTAACAGGGGAAAGTCAGAGCCCCGTGGGCACGCAGGGGACAGGGAGGCCTTGGGACATTTCTGGCCGCAGCCCCCCGGTACTTCCTGCTTTCCTGAGGCTGTTCTGGGTGTCATGGGGTGTGCAGACAGCTCTGGTTCCAGTCGAGCAGCCCTATCCTTGCTGGGTGCACGAGGCGTTCCCAGGGTCACACACATGACCACTCACAGTGGTTTCTGCTAAGTGCCAGGTGGCAACATGGTCACCAAGGGCAATGGAAGGAACCAGGGAATGGGAAGAGCCGGCTGTTCCCAAAAGACCCCTCAGGGATACAGGGACAGGCTGGGGGGCACTAGGGGCCTGGCAGAGGCCAGCCTTTAGGGGAAGGAAGTTGGTTTCAGAGGCAAAGACATTCATTCTACTCAGTCTGAAGCCGTGATACTTCCTCCCCAACCCTCCCTCCCTCCTCCACCTTCTAGCTCTTCGTCCTGTTGTCTTGCTCTGGCGGGCATCACCTGCTCAGGTGACCGGGTCCCCAGCATAAGCCAGAGTGAGTCTGCAGCACAAGTGCAAATTCTGCCTTTTCCCAGCCTGTCCGCCCTGCCAGCCCCAGGGGGGGCCACGTGCACGGCAGTCCTGGGGGCCTGCTGACCTCCGCAGTCTCCTTTCAGCCGTTTATCACAGCTGGGCCCTGTTGCCTGCCTCTCCTCTCTCCTGCCGGGTCTAACCACTGGCTGCCAGGCTCAGCCTTGGCTCCATGGGGCTGTGATCCTGAGGGCCCAGTCCCCCAGTCCTGCTCTGGGCTCCTTGGCCAGAAGCCATGATCCTTCCTTCCCTAATCCTCTCTCCCTCTTGGTCTCCTGCTCCCCTGACTTCCTTGTCTTCCTCAAGCCCCCCAGAAGCACTTGAGAACACGGTTGTGATGCCCAGGGCCCAAGTGCGGGGAGGGGGACGGGGCGGGGGTCCCCTCCCTGCCACAGGGCATCTGATTGATTATCTAAACGGCCAGGAGCAGCTCTTGACTTGCAAGGCCAGCACTGGCCTAACCGCCGCCCACCAGCAGAGGCTGGAGAGGTCATCAGGGAGGAAGCAGGGTGGGCGGCCGCTTTACAAAAGTGACATCTTAGGACACAGCGAGGAAGGCCCGGGCACAGCGTGTGCAGTCGGCTCCAATCTGAGCTTCTGAGAAACACTATTTCTACAGACACGGAAAGTTCCCAGAATCCCTGTTCCAACTACAACAGGGCTTCCTTTTTTTTTTTGAGACGGGGTCTCACTCTATCACCCAGGCTGGAGCACAGTGGCGCGATCTCAGCTCACTGCAACCTCCACCTCCTGGTTTCAAGCGATCCTCGTGCCTCAGCCTCCCGACTAGCTGGGATTACAGGCGCCCGCCACCACGCCTGGCTAAGTTTTGTATTTTTAGTAGAGATGGGGTTACACCATGTTGGTCAGGCTAGTCTTGAACTCCTGACCTCAGGTGCTCTGCCCACCTCAGCCTCCCAAACTGCTGGGATTACAGGCGTGAGCCACCAGGCCCAGCCTACATACAACAGGGGTTACCTCTGAGAGGGGCAGTGGAACCCCAGGTGAGAGAGAATTTGGGTTACACTGTATACGCTTTTGTACTGCTTACGTTGTTTTGACTGTGTGTGAATATTCCCTTTTCCATAAAAAATAAGAAAAACCAGTTTAAATTGCTTTAAAGGCCACGCCCAAGTTGACCTCTTCCTACTGAGATGTCAGTCACCCAGGAAGCCTGTCCCTTGCCACTGCAGGTAAAGAGCCATGTCCCCTCCTGACCAGTGGGCCACACGAGGTCTTCAAGGGTTCCCCAAGGCCCCCACGCCCAGGCCACCCACCTTCAGGAAGTCCTCGAAGGTGATCCCCTCGTACACCTGATCAGGCTCCTGGGGACAGAAGCACAGGGTGGACAGTGAGTGGTGCGGGTCCCCACACAGCTTCCTCAGGGGGACGGTCCACGGGCCTCCCCTCCCCACCAACACCCGAATGTAAGTGGTTGAGGCTGTTTGGGAGGAATCAGAAGAGGGGAACGTTCTGGATTATCTGCCTCCAGCACGCAGCCGGTCACCCTGCACCTCCAATATCCTCATTCATGGGCTTGAGGGTGGGATGGGAGCTGAGCGTGGCTCACCAGGGCCCTGGCAACGCATGGCTCAGAGCAGCATCCCTCTCCACCCCCAGTCTCCCAGGGAGAATCCGAGGTGTGGGTGACACGGGGGCAAGGGGCTCTCCTTCCCCACTTAGCTCACCTCACCACCAGCCCCCCAGCAGCTGGGCCACCAAGATGCCTCCTGTCCCCGCCAGGGCCGGCCTCTTCATGCCTGCGATGTGCTGTGCTGTGCTGTGCTGGTAAGAAGATTCCAGGCTAATCTAAGCTCACAGACCTCGAGGGAGAGGTCAGCAAAACACAGGGCCAGCCTGTGAGGCCCACGCCTCATGCCTCATGAGTCACTGTGATAACCCAGGACCTCCAGGGAGGCACGGCCGGAGGGTGGCCGCAAGGAGGCTCTCCATGCTGAACAGGTTTGGCAGAGCCAGTCTCCATCTACTCTGCATCCTGCCTGCTCTGGGGACGACACCAGGAGCTCCTGCCCCTTTCACCGATACTCTCAGGATCCCACCGACAAGCCTCCAAAAACCTCACCCAGCAGCACGCTTCGTGACAGCAAAAATCTGCTGACATCCCAGGTGCCCTTCAATAGAAGGCGAGGGACATAAATCTCAGTCATCCACCCTATTTGCAAGGCCAGCACTGGCCTAACCACCATCCACCAGCAGAGGCAATCATTAACCACTTATGCCTAGTGTTCCATTGCTGGAACGCTAAGCTGTGGGAGTTACTTATATCCTACTGCTCAAGGTCATCACCAAGGTCTGATTGCAAAAATTCTAAAAGCTGCAACCTCAGGCAAAAACGGGTTAAGAAGGGGTTGATCTCTGTCTCACTATGGAAAAGGCTCTGAGATATGTATACAGCAGATAAAGAACAAAAAAACGAAACCCAACAAGCAGAGAGATGTCTGCAGGTCTGTGCGTGCAAACCTTTCCTGAGACTGATAACCAGACCCCCACCATCTGCCCTGTAGGTGCATGGGGTCATACGGAGAAAAGGGGAAGCCACATCAGTTCAATCATGTTTTGCATAAATCAAAAATAAAAGACATGCATGTATACGTTGGTATATGTAGGAAAAAAACCCACCAGGAGGGAGTCCTTTTAGGGAAGAGGACATGGGCTGGTGGGGGAGCAAGCGAGACTCGAAGCTCTCTCTGTGACTCTCTGAAATTCTGTACGTGCGTGTAAGAACACAGGAGGCACACACTAAGCGTGTTATGCGCCAGGCATGTATGTCCCAAGTGCCTTCCAAATGCTATGGTTTTGTTTTGTTTTTGAGACAGTCTCGCTCTGTCACCCAGGCTGGAGCGCAGTGGCGCAATCTTGGCTCACTGCGACCTCTGCCTCCCAGGTTCAAGTGATTCTCCTGCCTCAGCCTCCCAAGTAACTGGGATTATTATAGGCATGCACCACCATGTGTGGCTAATTTTTAAATTTTTTAGTAGAGATGGGGTTTCACCATGTTAGCCAGGCTGGTCTCGAACTCCTGACCTCAAGCAATCCACCTGCCTTGGCCTCCCAAAGTGCTGGGATTACAGGTGACCAAATGCTATTGTTAGCATCTAATGACAGATGCCAATCTCACGACAGGCCCTGAGCTGGGTTCTGGTCTCTCTCCTGTATTACAGATGAGAGGCACAGAGGGGAGCTGCCTCCAAGTCCTTGAGGGCTGTTTCTACTGGCAGGACTTTGCAGGCCTTTTAGTTTCCTCTTTATACTTAAAAAATTTTGGCCGGGCACAGTGGTTCACATCTGTCGTCCCAACACATTGGGAGGCCAAGGCAGGAGGATTGCTGGAGGCCAGGAGTTCGAGACCAGACTGGTCAACATAACGACATCTCTTTTCAGCAATACATCTCTTTTTTTAAAAAACGTTAAAAAATCAGCTGGGTGTGGTGTTGTACATCTGTAGTCCCAGCTGCTCCAGAGGCTGAGGTAGGAGGATGGCTTGAGCCCAGGAGATGGAAGCTGTAGTGAGCTATGATCACACCACTGCACTCAAGTTTGGGCGACAGAATGAGACCCTGTCTCTTACAAAATAAATAATAAATTACAAGTTCTCGGCTAGCCTGGGCCAGCCCTGTCCCTAAGGGCTCCTTCCTCCCTGTCTTCCCACTCACGGGCACAGTGGCTGCCCTCCCTGCCAGGCCACCCTAGGTTCCCAGGCTGGCCAAGCGGAGCTAATTATAGAAAAGGCCCCCGTGGCCAGAGTCTGGGGCTGGAAAGGGGGTGATTGGTGCAAGGAAGGAGGGCAGGGAGTGGGGGACGCAGTCCCCCGTCAAGCATCCGTGGGTGCGACCTCCTGAGAAAGCGCTCTCAAAACATCCCACGGGCTGGCGCGGTGGCTCACGCCTGGAATCCCAGCACTTTGGGAGGCCGAGGTGGGTGGATCACTTGAGGTCAGGAGTTCAAGACCAGCCTGGCCAACATGGTGAAACCCCATCTCTGCTAAAAATACAAAAGTTATCCGGGCGTAGTGGCACATGCCTGTAATTCCAGCTACTCAGGAGGCTGAGGCAAGAGAATCACTTGAACTCAGGAGGTGGAGGTTGTAGTGAGCCAAGATGGTGCTACTGCACTGCAGCCTGGGTGACAGAGTGAGACTTGGTCTTGAAAAAAAAAAAAAAGAGAGATCCTGCCTCAGTCAATAACTGCCTTTGGAAGCCCATTAAAGTGGGGACCATGGATCGTTTGTCTTCAGCGGGTGGCACGGTGAGAACAGGAAGTGTCCTCAAAGGCCAGGCGGGACTGAACCGATGCAGCTGCCCCTTGCCCCCAGCTCAGGCCCGTACACAGCTCGGTCTGGGTTTATCGGGCTGAGGTTTACACCAGAAGGATTTTAAGAGCGCCCAGTTTTAAGAGCGCCCGGAGGACCCGTGAGTGAAGAAAGAGGTGCAGATGAGCCCTCTGCCTGGCAGCTGCCTTCCTGGTTCCGGGGCTACCTCCACCTCCCGGGGGCTTGTGGGCAGCGGGTGCACCCCGGAGCCCGCCTCCGCCCCGAGATGCCGCTGCTTCCCAGGCTGCTGGGGTTTTATGCAGATCAGCAGCTGCCAGCAATTTCACTACAGCAAATTAAGAAAACTGTCACCAATTGAAACTGGAGTGGGACAGGGAGCAATTTGAAGAAGGAGAGTGTAATTAAATCAAATGGGAATTTGGCCCGACAACCGGCGGGGATCCCTGCTCTCCCCACCTAGGTCACGAGCCCTCTCCTGTGGTGGTTAATCTGCTGAGTGCAGAGGTTTCACCCAAGCTAGAAGCTTCCCCCCGGGCTCCAGAGGCAGACAGATAAAACGCATGCCAGGAAGCCGACCGACCACAGCCCCCGCCTCTGGGAGCAGGCCCAGGCAGGTGGCCTCATGTCCCTCAAGGACGGGGTTGGGGCACAGAGAGCAGGATCCAGCATGAACCCCCCTCTGCTCCGGGCTAGGCAAACACAAAACCATCAGGGTGTCTAGAGACGCACCTGCTTTAGACACACAGGGGCAAAGGGCTGACCGCGTCAGTGGGGCCATCCAAACCCCTCAGGGAACACATGACACCCAGGTGGTCACCTGCCTTCCTGAGTGGTCCCGAGGCTTAGAGCGAGCCTCAGGGCTAGGGGCTGGTGGGGCTGCACCTGTCCTTACAAGAGGAAATCTTCCCAGCACAGGAAAGATCGCAAGGTCTAGAGGATTCTCTATGCTCTCTGAGCCTCAGTTTCCCCACCAGTTAAAATGAGGCAAAATGTAGGAAATGATGAACATGGGAAGGCCGCTCCCCTCTCTTCCATGTCATTTACACACCAGCCCCTACCTCAGCTCCTCCATCTGACCCCACGCCATCGGCTTTTGTCAGTCTCCAACAGGGCTCCCTGCTGACCCCTGCTCCAAGGCCAGAAGTCGCCTCTGAGTCATTTGTTAATAAACTAATTCAGGCCAGCCTGTGCCATGTGCTGCCCAGGCCTGGCTCCAGGGCCAAGTGCTGCTATGAGCACTGACTGAGGCCAGGATGGGGGTCGGGGGGCTAGGCAGATGGGGGCTCCTGGACCTCGAGCTCTGCTTCCCTGCCTTGTGCAGTCCTCTGGGGACTGGGACCTTCAGTCTCCTGGGGGACAGGAAGGGTTGGGAGAGGTTTCTGAGCCCCACAGGCCACAGGTAGAGCAGGTGGCAAAATACACCAGGCCCCATGCCCCGTAAGGCCTTCCAGAAACACAGCGCATAAGCGGGAAAGGCACTGCGTGTCTCAGGAGGGCTGCAGGGGCGCTCACCATCTGCCCCATGCACACGCTGGCCGCCTCCATCATGGCCCCGTCGGCGATGGAGCGAGCGGACTCCTTCTCGATGTGGGGGTTTCCTGACAGCAGTTCCTCGACCACCTGCCGGGTGGGGCGGAAAAAAACGGTGATCTTGGGCCTCCATCAGGGTTGTGGGGGGCGGGAGGGAGGTGCCAGGAACCCAGGGCGGGCCAGAGGAGCATACTTTACATTTCGATATTCTTCCAGGGTGATGCGGCCATCGCTGTCCGAGTCGTACATGTGGAACAGAACTGGGGTGGCAGGGGACAGAGGGGACTCCGTCAGTTTTTTAATGATACGGCGACCACCGAGATCTACACTAAACTAAGCAAAAGACACCAGTAACCAAACCTCAATGCCAAAGCCAGAGGGGTCAGGCACGAGCTGTGGGACCAGACTGACCACTTCCTACTGGGTGACCTTGGGCCCATGACCTAACTTCTCTGAGCCTCAGTTTCCTCATCTGTGAAATGGGAATAACAACAGTGTCTACCTCGTGGCCTTAGGAGGGCTGAGAGCTAGCGCTGTGGCCCCATGAGCATGAACATGACGACAGTAAGCGTTACCCGTTAACACAAGTCAACAGTGTTGAGTTCAAAATATTGCTCCCACAGCCCCAGGAGGCCCCATCGTCTCAGCCGTGGCAGGTCGTGGTCCACAATGCTTCTGATCTGGGCCCGACTGATCTAACGTGGGCGGTCCCAGGCCTGGCATGAGGGAGGTGCTGGCCGGGAGGGGGCCTCTCCCTGTTGTTCCTAGCACGGCCTTGGGAGCTGGAGCTCTGCCAAGTCTCCTGTGTTGGCATTTTCTTTTTTAATGTATTTATTTTTTCAAGATGGAGTCTCGCTCTGTCACCCAGGCTGGAGTGCAGTGGCACGATCTGGGCTCACTGCAACCTCTGCCTCCTGGGTTCAAGAGATTCTCCTGCTTCAGCCTCCCAAGTAGCTGGGACTACAGGTGCACGCCGCCATGCCCAGGTAATTTTTGTATTTTTAGTAGAGACAGGGTTTCAGCAGTTGGCCAGGCTGGTCTCAAACTCCCAACCTCAAATGATCCGCCCGCCTCAGCCTCCCAAAGTGCTGGGATTACAGGTGTGAGCCACCGCACCTGGCCAGCATTGATTTGTTATTGTTATTATTTTTTTCAGAAATGGAGTCTCCCTCTGTCACACAGGCTGAATGTAGTGGTGCAATTGTAGCTCGCTGCAGCCTCCATCTCCTGGGCTCAAACCACCCTCCCACCTCAGTCTCCTGAGTACCAGGGACCACGGGCACGCAGCACCACTATGCTGTGCTAATTTTTTTATTTTGTAGAGGTGAGTGTCTTTCTCCCTGTTGCCCAGGCTGGGCCCTGAACTCCCAGCTTCAAGTGATCTTCCCCACTCAGCCTCCTAAAGTGCTGGGATTACAGGCATGCGCCACTGAGCCCAGCGGGCATTTATTGAACACTGACCAGATGCCCAGGTGTGCAAAGCGCTTCAAAAACCTCTCAATCTCCCTCTCACCCAACCCCAAGAGGCCAGGGATGCCTGAGCCCTGCCTCCCAGACAGACTGTCAAAGCTCACGGAAGTTAAGGCGTTTGCCCAAGACTACACCGCTAAGGGACAGGAAACCAGGGATTTGGACCTGAGTCCGTCCTGTTCCTCACCCCTTGGAGCAGACAGGAAGCCAGGCTCACACCAGGGACCCCCCCGCCGGGCGGTTCCCACCAGCCCCACGTACACATTCCAGTGCTAAATATAGTCAAGTCCCATGTTTACATTTTCTTGATGAGGAGGCTGACCTGGGGCGGGGCACCGAGGGATGTCAAGAGTCATGGGAAAGGCCACAGGAAAAGGAGATGTGACTCGGGCCACTGCCTGGGACCTGTGCGGCTGACCAGCTGGGACCACAACTGAACCCACTCGGGAGCCAGAACATAGTGGGGCTGGTCTCAGGAACCCAGCAATAGCACAAACCACGGAGGAGGGAGAGGAGGAAACTGACTATAGGGGGCACTTCCTGTGTGCCAAAGGCCGACTGTGTGATCTTGCCCAGCCCTCAGAACCACACACAGCATACCCACGTTCTGGGCCAAGGTTCAAGGTCACATGGCTGGTAGGTGAGAGGGGCCACATTGGAACCCAGGTCTTTGCATCAAGGGCCTTACTTCACAGCCACCGCACAACCCCCTTCTAGTCCCAGGAAGCCGCAAGCTGCTGAGGAATGTTTAGGATGAGGGCGCCGGGAACGGGAGACAGCAATGCCAGCCTCACAGGGACAAGGGCTGGTGTCCCCAAGCCCTCCAAGCCCCCAAGCCAATGCACACCCAGCCTCCTGCTGCAGGGGTGCCTTGTGTTCTGAGGACTTAGGGGAGGCTGCACCCCAGGCCAGGTGTGAGCAAGGGGACTCAGTGGCACGCACATCTCAGTTTCTCCTTCCGGGACAGCTCCACCTGTTCCTCGTCCATGGTGGTGTCGATGGGCCGGAAGTAGGACATGATGGTCAGGAAGTCCTCGAAATTGATCTCATCAGCCAGGCCACTGGGTCCCTTGCGCAGGTTCCTACGGGAGCAACAAGGAGGGTTTTGGAAATAAATGAAGAACCAGATCTTGTCCTCTTGCTACCATTAGCTCCGAAAACTCTGCTCTCAGGGCACAAACTGGACCCACGATGGCTGCTCTTGCCTTGAGTCTGTGCCCCAAAAACCTGCTTCGTGGAGGGGCTGGGGGCTCCAGAAGCTGAAAGCTCAGTCCTTGCCTCGCCCTCATGGAGCTCCCCATTAGGGAGGTGGAAGAGAGACAGACCACTGCATGACTGTTGATTCGGGCGGGGACAGAGGGAAGCGTGGGTGTGTGACGGTGCACACAGGCGAGCATTTATGAGGAAACCAAGCAATCCAGTAACTCACCAAATACCTCTCCCGATCCTTTCCTTTAGCTCAGGGGTTGGCAAACCGCCCACGGGCCCAATCTGGCCTATCATCTATTTTCATACAGCCCATGAACTAAGAAGACTTTCTGGGCCAGGCGTGGTGGTTCACGCCTCTAATCCCAGCACTCTGGGAGGCCGAGGTGGGCAGACCACCTGATGTCAGGAGTTCGAGACCAGCCTGGCCAACATGGTGACACCACGCCTCTACTGAAAATACAAAAATTAGCCGGGCGTGGTGGTGTGCACCTGTAGTCCCAGCTACGCGGGAGGCTGAGGCGGGAGAATGGCTTGAACCTGGGAGGTAGAGGTTGCAGTGAGCCAAGATCAGACCACTGCACTCCAGCTTGGGTGACAGAGGTAGACCCTGTCTCAAAAAAAAAAAAAAAAAAAAAAAAAAAGACTTTTCACATTTTTATCTTAATTTTGTCAGAGTCAGGGTCTCACTGCACTGCCCAGGCTGGAGTTTGGTGGTATGATCGTAGCTCATGGCAGCCTCAAACTCCTGGGCTCAAGCAATCCTCCTGTCTTGGCCTCCCAAAGTGCTGGGACTATATGTGACAGCCATGTGCCTGGCCGGTTTTCACATTTTTAAATAGTTGAAAAAATGCTTGCCAAAAAAAAAAAAAAAAAGCGTCAAAAGAATAGTATTTCATGACGAGTGAAAATTACATGAAATTCAAATGTCAGTGTCCATAAATAAAATTTTATTGGCACACAGCCATGCCCATTCATTTACGCTTGTCTGCAGAGTTGAGTAGATGCAAGAGAGACTGCGTGGCCCGCAAAGCCTAAAATATTTACTCCTTGTCTTTTTACAGAAAAAGTTTGCCAACCTCTGCTCGCTCTCACTAGTTCAAAATTTTAGGATGGTGATTGACTGCAAGCATCACTAAGTAATCTGTTTATACCCAAATACAAAGTTTGCCAATGATTGAAAGTTTTGTGGTAAGTTAGGGCAGGTTTGAGGCTGGCCGTATCAATGTGCTTTTTGGAGGAGGCAAGAAAGGGCTGGTGTTCCAGGGGATGGGGACGTTTCATGCCCCATGCCGGGCTCAGTGCCTGACACCCAGATGAGGGGCTCAGAAATGTGTGGTCCAGCTCGGGTCTTGGCAGTTGCTAAGAAAATAGCTTGGAGGCCAGGCGCAATGGCTCACGCCTGTAACCCCTGCACTTTGGGAGGTTGAGGCAGGCCAATTGCTTGAGCTCTGGAGTTCAAGACCACCCTGGGCAACAGGGAGAAACCCCGTCTCTACAAAAAATACAAAACAATGAGCTGGGTGCGGTGGCGTGCACCTGTAGTCCCAGCTACTTGGGGAGCTGAGCTGGGAGGATTGCTGGAGCCCAGGAGGCCAAGGCTGCAGTGAGCCAAGATCACGCCACTGCACTCCAGCCTGGGTGACTGAGTTTGAGATCTTGTCTCAAACAAAACAAAACAAACAGCCTGGAGATGACTGCAAACCCGAGCTCCTGACTCACTGTCCTCAAACCTTATCACTAATGGACTGCGACCGTGAGCGCCCGAGGCCGCTGGGGAGGCTGTCATACAGCTGGCAAGCTCAAGGTTCTGTCACAGTCCCTCACTGTGGCCCTTCGGAAGGGGCAGTACCTAGCTGGCCCGGGGTGGCTAACCGTTAGTGGTTAGTGCTTGGATGTCACTTGGGTTCCACCCAGGGCATGACTGCGCCTCCACTGCAATTCTCTCTTTAGAGGTTCATCTACTACTCCTTTTCAGCACCCAGCAAATACACTAACACCCATACGACGGCCTCTGAGTGGCCCGGGAACTCCCTTTCTTTTTATTTTTCTCTTCCGGATTTTCCAGGGAGAGGTGGGGTCCCAAGTCTGGATGAGAGAAGGCAAAAACTGCCCATCTGCGGGATGAGATCCGTCCATCCCTCAGGAAGGCCCATCTTTATGTGTTTTCACAGGCCTCCCTTCTTTCTTTTATCGGATGAAGCTCCCAACTGCTCCTGCCACAGGCTTTAATAACCTTGAAGTTCTCACTGTGGGCGGCACAGACCAAATTTACAGAGCATAAAAATAGCCCCCGGACTTATCAGGCCGCTCTGAAAGCCCTTCCCACAGCGACTGGCTCACACGTCCTTCTCAAGTGGTTTAGGCTGCAGCAAGAGGGATTAAGATTAGCACGGGTGAAAATGTGACAGACCCCTGGGGAAGGCAGGGTGTGTGTCCTTCTCTGGGACGGTTGAGACCTGCTCTGCTTCAGCCTCAGGACCCAATTCAAGGAAGGAGGGTCCCTTCCCTTCCGAGTGCTCCCAGAGGTCTGCAGAGACCAACATTATGGTCTCCAAAGGCAATGAGAGCCAGCGCCAAGGAAACCTAGACAGAGCACCTAGAACCAGCCCCACCTGCTCTCCACTCCATTTTCTAAATAAAAGGTTTTTTTTTTTTTAGAGATGCGATCTCACTATATTGCCCAGACTGGTCTTGAAGCCTGGCCATATGCAATCCTACTGCCTCAGCCTCCTCAGCTGCTGGGATTACAGGCCGTGCCACCATACTCAGCGCTCTACTCCCATTTCTAAAATGAGCACCAGGATGAAGATCAGTGGATAGAAAACAGGGGCTACATCTAAATCTGCGGCCCAGCATGAGGGCAGGCCATTTTCTCTCCTTTTGCAAAGATGCCACCTTAACTTTCTAATTCTCCTGTAAGGAATGGAGTGCCCCTGGAGGTGGGGATGGGCTCACAATACCCCTTCCCCAAGACCTGTTCCCAGAGTCTTAGGAACAAAGGCTGAGGCTGGTATTTCTTGAAAGGAAAATCCTGTTTCCAGCATCTCCTCTGAAATCCTCCTCCAGCTTCTTCTCAGCATTTACAGGATATGACGTGAAGCCCTTGTCCAATACTTACAAGCTCCCAGCTGTAGCCCACGAAGTGTTCTGGGTGCAGGCCAGAGGAAACCCTTTTTAAAATCATCCCCTCCCTCGGTAACTTCTGGGCCAGCCTTAGTCATTGGCACCTCCCTTTCTCCACACCAGGTTTCTCTAAAGAGCAGCTGGAGGCTGAGGTCCGGGGACCCATAGGGGAGGCTCTCACCGCCCCATACCTGGCCACCGCCCTTCACTTCTGGCTCGGCCCGGATCCCTGGCCATCTTTCAATGGCAGCTCCATCAGGCAGGCACAATGACAGCTGCTCTCAGACCCGGAGTCTCCTGGATGCCCCCCACATCCCCGCACCCAACCCACCCCCAGGTTCACACCTCTAGTCAGTCCCCTGGGAACCTTCCTTTTCTCTCCTGGCCCCTGCAGCTGCCTGGCCCAGCCCCCACCTTCCCGTGCACTCCAAGTGCAGCCGGAATGAGCTTTGCAAAATGCAAATCAGAGCCTGTCGCTCCCCTGCTCAGCACCCTCCTGGGGCCTCCCCCGTCCTCCTGGTAATCCCCAGTCCCACCTGGACTTCCAGGCCTGCAGGGCGGTCTCAGCCACCCGCACCAGCGCAGACCTCACCGCCCCTTTCTGCCTAGCTCCCTCCTCAGGGTCCCCACAGGCCTGTCCCACCTGGAGTCCCCCTGAGATGTGAGATGTGGCCACTTGTTTCAACGTGCACCTTCTGAACACTCCATATTCCCCAGTGACTGAGGTCCCTGTCCCCACCTTCAGGGAGCGCCACGCCTGTGCCAGTCCTTCCATGGCTCTGTCCTAAATCAGACCCTCAAAGGAGGCGGCGGCTACTGCCTCCATCTGCCTGTCCCTACGTCTGGCAGCGGCATGCCCAGTGCACCCTCTTGTCTTCTGAAAACAGAGAGGCATCTGCCCTGGCCCTTTCCCCACACCGTGTCTCCTGGAGTGCAGCTGTTGATGGAGAACAGCCTGGCAGGTACGTGAATGCCACCCCAAGAGCCCAAAACACAACTCCTGGGTCTGTCCAGGATCGTGAGGCCGACAGACCCGAGTTGGAATCCCAGTTCCTACAAGTGGCAGCTGACAGCCAAGTGACCTCGGGTCAAGTTTTTCTTTAAGGAATAAGAGCATACACTAAAATGCACAGGTCTTGTGTTTGGACAAACATATGCCCTTGTGAAATCCACCTCTCATCCACCCCAGAAGTTCCCTCTTCCAACTTTACAACTGGCCAGAGTTGCACCCAGGCCTTCTGAAAACAAGCCTCGCGCAGACACACACTCCCTACACGTGGACACATGCTCCCTCTCGCGTGGGCACGCACACACACACGCGCGCACACACACACACGCGCGCATGCGCGCACACACACACGCACACACACACACACACACGCGCGCGCACACACACACACGCATGCACAGGCGCCCCCTGGGCTCTGGTCCCCTGTACCATCTTCCTGTCAGTGCCTCCAACTCTAGGTCCCGTCAGGGGCCATGCCTCCCACCCTGACGTCTACCTTGGCTCATTTGGGGACTGGCCTAAGACACACCGCCCACCTCTGAGTCCTTTCTCTGAGAACCAGGATTTAAAGGGAGTTGGTGCACCGGATTCCACTCTGTCTTTGCCACCGACTGTGCAACTTCACACACTTCAGTCACTTAAGCTCCACAGGCCCCTCCTCTTTGGCAAACATGGCAACTGGCCATGAAGATTCCTTCGGTACCAGGTCTCTCACCCCAACTCCTGATCCAACCCTTCCTCCTCATCTATAACCTCCCAGGTGGCTCAGAGCCACCCCCTGTGCCCCAGATCCTCAGGGCAGCCCTGACTCAAGCCCAGGACCACGATTCACTCCTCCCTGGCCTCCACCTCCCATTCCCACCCTACAACCAACCAGCAGCCACAGCGACCTCTGCAAAGTGCAAACCTGGCTCACCCACCCCCCACACCCTCACCTCAAAGTCCATCGGCGCCCCCATCTCAGCTCCTGAAGACCCCTGTTGCTGGTCCACAGAGGCTGCCCGATGCAGCCTGCCCTCCCCACACCACACTGGCCTCTCTGTGATCCAGCTAGGTCTGCCTCTCAGCTCCCCAAGCTCCCTGTGCCACAGGGCCTTTGCATACACAGTTCCCATCGCCTGGAACCTTCTCTCCCTGCTTTTCTGGTTTAACTCTTGGTCACTCTCTCGCCAGGCCTTGCCCCATGGGCCACAGAGGAAGGCCCCTGCATCTCCAGGGGCAGCTGAAGGACCCCTCTCCTGGTGAGCAGCACCCCCAGTTTCCAGTGGGACTCAGGGAGCCTCAGCACCTTGCCCAGGGTCCCACATCCCTGGCAGAACTAGGGTGAGTGTTTCATCCCTGCACAGCTCAAAACCATCAGGGAAGCCCCATGGTCTTATCACCACACCACACCTGTTCCTGTCTTTCCTCTTTCTGCCCATCCTCCACTTCCCAACCATCTTTGCAGACGTGGGGACATTGGAGCAAATAGGCTGGCTGGCCTCAGTGTGGCTGCCACAGGCCCCAGCAGCATGGGGAGGGTATACCCACCCCTTCATCGCCCGCAGAGTCCCAGACACCTCCAGGCTCCATCCCGCGCACCCAGGTCTTTCACCTTAAACAATACTGGACACTGGGGCATGAGCTCTGGCCTGTGCCTCAGCTCTGGGACACTGGCCAGGGTGCACACCTCTTTGTAAGCCACGGCGATGAACATATGAATAGCTAACCTCGCGCTTCACCACACATCCCCCCACTCCCCCTCACAGCAACCCTGCTAGGCAAGTGCTATGATTATCTCCACTTTATTTTATTTTGAGACAGAGTCTCATTCCGTTGCCCAGGCTAGAGTGCAGTGGTGTGATCTCGGCTCACTGCAACCTCCACCTCCCGAGTTCAAGGGATTCTCCTGCCTCAGCCTCCCGAGTAGCTCGGATTACAGGTGTAAGCCGCCACACCTGGCTAATTTTTTGTATTTTTAGTAGAGACGGGGTTTCACCATGTTGACCTGGCTGGTCTTGAACTCCTGACCTCAAGTGATCTGCCGGCCTTGGCCTCCCAAAGTGCTGGGATTACAGGTGTGAGCTGCCGCGCCCGGCCAATTATCTCCATTTTAGAGATGGTGAAACTGAGGTATCCTCCCAGATGGCCCCCCAAATCCCTGTCTCCTGGTAGTCACGTCCCTGTGCCGTCCCATCAAGAGGGGGGTGAAATAGTGACTCACGTCTAACGAAGAGACAGAGCAGGAGGAACGGGGTGTCAGTTACAAAAAGATAGTGGGATGTCCCGCTGTTTCATTCGACGGCTGGCTCTGGAGGAAGCAAGCTGCCATGCTGTGGGCAGCTCTGTGGAGGGGCCCAGGAGATGGTCCAGCCAGCAGCCACAAGGCTGAACCTGGAAGCAGAGCCTCCCTGGTCGAGCCACGAGGCGAGGGACCCCAGTCCCAGCTAATGCCGTGGCTGAAGCTAATGAGGCTTTGAGACCCTCAGCTAATTTGCACCCAGGTTCCTTTCCTCACCCAAAGAAATGGTGAGATAATAAACGCTTTCCAGTTTTTCTTTCTTTTTTTTTTTCCTGAGATGGAGTCTCACGGACTCTCGCCCAGGCTGAAGTGCAGTGGCACCATCTCAGCTCCCTGCAACCTCTGTCTCCCGGGTTCAAGAGATTCTCCTGCCTCAGCCTCCTGAGTAGCTGGGATTACAGACGTGCACCATCACACCCAACTTATTTTTGTATTTTTAGCAGAGACAGGGTTTCACCATGTTGGCCAGGCTGGTCTCGAACTCCTGACTTCAAGTGATCTGCCCACTTCGGCCTCCCAAAGTGCTGGGATTACAGGCGTGAGCCACTGTGTCCTGCTAATTCTTTTATTTTTAGTAGAAACAGGGTTTCACCATGTTAGCCAGGCTGGTCTTGAACTCCTGACCTCAGGTGATCTGCCCACCTTGACCTCCCAAAGTGCTGGGATCATAGGCATAAGCCACTATGCCCAGCCTTGAATTTTCTTTTTTAAAAAGTCTTCCTCAACAGTTGTCTTAGAATTTTTCTAAGAGAATTATTCTTTTTTAATTGTTGTTTTCATTTTTTTTTTTTTTTTTTTTTTCCAGAAACAGGGCCTCACTCTGTTGCCCAGGCTGGAGAACAGTGGTGCAATCACAGCTCACTACAACCTCGAACTTCTGGCCTCAAGTATCCTCCCACCTCATCCTCTCCAGTAGTGGAGACTATAGGTGTGCACTACCATGCCTGGCTATTGTTTTAATCTATGAAGTTTTGGGGTAATTTGTTACACAGCCAGAGATAACAAATACAGAGGCCTAGAGAACTTGAGTGAGCTGCCCAGTTGCCCAGCTATGAATCCAGAATGGTCCAACCCCAAACCAGTGCTTATAATCCCTACCCAGCTCGGTCCCCTCTTCTGGGCATCAGCTCAAAGGGCCATTCTGGGCAATGAGTACCATGAGATGTCACACAACACAAAGGTGCCTGCCACTGGGCTGGTTCAGGGGAAAACGCCCACCTGTTGTCGAAGAAGGCACGAACAATTTTGGATCGGATGGGGTTGAGCTCCAGGTCTGGGACATTGTTGAAGTTCTCCTTGCTGGTTTCCAAGAAGAGATACCGGGAAGAGAGTAGGAAAAGACAGCAGATGTCAGCTGGCATTTTCATCCTGTATCAAGCTGTATTTTGGATCCCCAACAGGCCCCACGAGAATAGTTCAGTTAGGAGACAGAACTGGAATACGCTTCACTTATCTGCCCCTTCCTCTAACCTTTAGACTGGGCAAAGGCAGGGAGGATTTGGAGGCTCAAGATACTTTTCTTTTTTGAGATAGAGTCTCACTGTCACCCAGGCTGGAGTGCAGTAGTGCGATCATAGCTCGCTGCAGCCTCCATCTACTGAGCTCAAGCAATCCTCTTGCCTCAGTCTCCCAAGCAGCTAGGACCACAGGTGCACGCCACCATGCCTAGCTAATTTTTAAAATTGTTTGTAGAGACAAGGGGTTGACACGTTGCCCCAGCTGGTCTTGAACTCCTGGGTTCAAGTGATCCTCCTGCCTTAGCCTCCCAAAGTGCTGGGGTTACAGGTATGAGCCACTGGCCTGGCCTTGAGATACTTTTGAGAATCCAAGAGGTGGACTGGACATTCGTCTCCAAAAAAAATGCAGAGATATGGGATTTGTGTCCATTCTGGGGATTCAGAGACTGCCTGAAACCTATCCTCAAATCCCCAGGTAAGTATTCAGAGCAGTGGGGTGCTGGCTTGGAGCTCTGGAAAACAGTCTGGCAGGTCCTCAAAGGTTAAACCTGGAGTTAACAGATGACCCAGCAATTCCACTCCTAGGGATATGCCCAAGAGAAACAAAAACCTGTGCATGAATTTCCCAGCAGCATTCCCCACCCACAAAGCAGAAACAGCCTAAACATCTGTCGACTCATAAATGGAGAAATAAAATGTGGTCCACACAATGGAGTTGTTTGTTTTTTGAGACGGAGCCTCGCTCTGTCGCCCAGGCTGGAGTGCAGTGGCGCAATCTCGGCTCACTGCAACCACTATGGAGTATTTTTTAGCCATAAAAAGGAACCAAGTACTGATACATGCTACAACACAAATGAATCTAAAAAACATGGTGCTAAGCGAGTCTGGGCACAGTGGCTCACACCTGTAATCTCAGCACTGTGGGAGGCCGAGGCAGGCGGATCACTTGAGGTCAGGAGTTTGAGACCAGCCTGGCCAACGTGGTGAAACCCCATCTCTACTAAAAATACAAAAATTAGCCGAGTGTGGTGGTGCCTGTCTGTAATCTCAGCTACTTGGGAGGCTGAGGCACAAGAGTTGCTTGAATCCGGGAGGTGGAGGTTGCAGTGAGCCAAGATCTCACCATTGCACCATAGCCTGGTAGACTGTAGTCTCAAAAAACTTCTGAGTTTTCAGACTCCATCTCAAAATACAAACAAACAAACAAAATTATGCTAAGTGAAAGAAGCCCGTTACAAATGGCCACATATTACATAATTACATTTACATGAACTCTCTGGAACAGGTAAATACACAGCAGTAGAAAGCAGATTGGTGGTGGTCAGGGGGTTGGGGACCTGGCCCTGGGTCCTGGGTCCCTCTGTGTCCCCGGCACGGCCTCCTGTCCCTCCCACCCAGGCCTTTCGGCTGGGCTCACTCGTGGCCTCTGGCCAAACTCAGGAGCCACGTCAGGGCAGACTCATGTTTTAGATTCCCAGGAACCCAGTTCCAAAGAAGGAGGCAGACTCGGGACAGCTGGCCGGAGAGATGGGATGTTATTTGGCCATGAAAAAAAAATAAGATTATTTTTTGGCCATAAAAAGGAACAAGGTTTTTTGTTTTGGTTTTTTGAGATGGAGTCTCACTCTGTCACCCAGGCTGGAGCACAGCGGCGTGATCTCGGCTCACTGCAACCTCCGCCTCCCGTGTTCAAGCGATTCTCCTGCCTCAGCCTCCCAAGTAGCTGGGATTACAGGCGTGTGCTACCACGCCCAGCTAACTTTTGTATTTTTAATAGAGATGGGGTTTCACCCGTTGGCCAGGCTGGTCTCAAACTCCTGACCTCAGGTAATCCACCTGTCTCAGCCTCCCAAAGTGCTGGGATTACAGGTTTGAGCCACTGCACCTGTCCAGGAACGAGATTCTCATCCATGCCACAGCACGGATGCACCTGGAAGGCATGATGCTCAGTGGAACAAGCCAGACACAAATGGCCCCTTGGTGTACGATGCCATTTATAGGAAACATCCAGAAAAGACAAATACAGGGAGACAAAGTGGAGAGATGCGGTTTCCGGGGGCTAGGGGCGGGGTGGGGGTTGACCGGTGCGGAGCTTCTTTCCGAGGTGCTCCAAAATGGACTGCACATTTTCAATGGGCGAATTTTATAATATGTGAATTACATCTCTATAAAGCTGTTAAAATTTTCTAATAAGTCTTTAAAAAAACAAAAAAGAACCACTGTGCTACTGCAGTACGACTCCATTTATGTAAAGAACACAAAGTGACAACACGAACCTCTGCAGCTAGAAGTCGGGGTGATGAACCGCCTCGGAGTTGGGGGTGATCGAGAGGGAACATGGGGGCCTTTTGGGGGCTGGGAACATTCTGTTGCATGTTCCATCTGTGAAAGTCCCTCTGTGTGTGTGATACATGCTTTTCTCTATGCAGGTCACACCCTCACTGCTGGCAGACAGCTCGATGCTCTGCCCTTTTTCCTCATTAGTGGGAGGCAACCACAGGAGGGGACAGAACAGAGAGACCAGAGCCCTGAATGAGTCAAGGTTACCAGGAGAGATGATCACATTCTACAAAATCACGATCGGATGACAATACAGCTACAGCTCACAAACGTGCAAGCGACTTGGCCGGAGCCATCTCGTTTCCCAGCGACCCCACAAGGGCTCCTATTATCCCTGATGCCCACAAGGGCTCCTATTATCCCTGACGCTTCAGGCTCAGCAGACAGGTTTTGGCGACCTGCCCCAGCTCACCCAGTGGGGGCGTGGAAGAGTCAGCTTGGAAGCTAGGTAGAGTACAGCCATGCTCTCACCAGATACCCTGGTGTCCTACTCTCCCTGGCCATCCGAACAGAATCCATTTTCCAAGGCCCAGATTCCCGGACTGAGAAAGGGACCACAAGGAGCTCCAGAGGGAATCTGGGAGAACAGAGAAGCCACTGGCTGCTATGCTGCTAGCCAAACCCTCTCTGGCTTTCACTGGCTGTTGCTAATCCTTCCTCGGTCTCAGTTTTCTCATCTGTGAAGAGGGCACACTGATCCTGACTGAGGGGTGACGGGCACAGCCTCTGGAATCACACTTGGGTTCTACCCTGCTCTGCTACCTGGGTCAAACGGCGTTGCCTCACTCAGTCTCCGTCTGCTCCTTTGCAAACAGGAACCTCACAGGATTGCTGTACAGCTTAGAGGAGATAAAGTCCGCAACATGCTCAGCGCAGTGTCTGGTGAACTGGGAGTGCACCAACAGATGGCAGCTTGCGGGATGGGGACCCTGTGATTTCCACAGCACCCTGTCCTCAATGCCTTGCACAGCTGGGCTTAGCAAGGTGATCAATAAATGGTTTGCTGAGCAAATAATGAAGCAAATAATAACGAAGGTGGCTGCGGGCAGGGCTTCCCTCTTTGTCTGGTCCATCCTGAGGCACTGCCCTTCCCCAGGTGCCTTCCTCAGGGCCCAGGTGTCCAGACCCTGGAAGGAGAGCAGACCCCAATGTCCCAGGAGAGAGGAAGGAGAGGTGGGGTAGAAACCACCTAGAGGAGCCTGACCCATGTGCCTGGAGAAGAAATTAACTCAACACAAGAGGCCTGTCCCCAGCCAGCAGCAATAAGACATGCCTGACCTGCTGGGAATTGAGCTGGGGACACAGTGTTGTCCCCAGGTGCTGGCTTCACAACCCCCAGCGGGTGTGTAAATGGCTCTGAAGCCTGTTGCCTCTGCTCTCTCTCTCCATAGGCACCTGCTACGCCCACACCTGACTCTCACCTCCCCCTCACCACAGGTGCCTGACTCTTGGAGCCTCAGTTTCCTCATCTGTGAGATGGGTGCAGACCTATTCCTTCACATATCAAAGGGGATGGTTCAGGGTCAAACACGAGGTGGGGAGAGGGGTGCTGGCCCAGGCTCTGCCCCTTACCAGGCACATGGTCTTGAGTAATCACAGCACATCTCCAAGCCGTGATTTCTCACCTGTAAAATGGGGATCGTAGGAATATCCAGGTAACATGATGGGGGCTAATTAGATGACCAAATGAGATAAATCCACATAAGATGCTGAGCAGACTGCCTGACACAGGGTAAGCTCTTAATTTTAAAATAATAACAGTAATAATGGCAGCAGCAGCAGCAACAGTAATCGCTGCAGCCGTATTAATAGTAGTAATAATAATAATGTAACAGCAGCTAACCTATATACCCTCAGAATGGAAGGAACTATTCTAAGAGCTTTACATTATTACATAGAGCTCACAACAACCCTATAAAGTAGGTACTTATGCCCACTTTATTTTCTTAACTTTTTTTGTTTTTTGAGACGGAGTCTCACTCTGCCACCCAGGTTGGAGCGTAGTGGCGTGAACTCTGCTTACTGCAACCTCTGCCTCCTGGGTTCAAGTGATTCTTGTGCCTCAGTCACCCGAGTAGCTGGGATTACAGGTGTGCGCCACCATGCCCAGCTAATTTTTGTATTTTTAGTAGAGACGGGGTTTCACCATGTTGGCCAGGCTGGTCTCGAACTCCTGACCTCAGGTGATCTGCCCACCTCAGCCTCCCAAAGTGCTGGGATTACAGGTGTGAGCCACTGCGCCCGGCCTGTGCCCATTTTAAAGATGAGGAAACTGAGGCAGAGACATGAAGCCACTTCTCGTTGTTAAGAATGAAGCTGGTGGACCCAGGCAGTGGCATGGTGGTGCCTGGCCTTCAGGGACTTTCCCTAAAACCTGTCAACTCTCAACAAGGAGAGTGCCGGCCTTGAGTCCAGCACTTAGGACGCACTAACCTTTTCATTCCATCAGTTTCATGCTCCATCAATACTCGTGTCAGTTTTGTTTTCCTTCCTCCCCAGGTT